GATTAAAACTACTTGAGGAAATAAAATTTGAAAGAAAATTTTGGAATTTTTCTTGATCAGCTTTCTACAGCCACTAAGAAATTAATTCGTAGACTTGAAGTGATGAAAAATGAAATAAATAGTTATGTGTCATGCGTAAAAACGCTCAAGCGATCATGTATCTTTCGATTAATGACTGACGTCTAAAGATTTTTTTTAATTGCAGTTTTGCCATTTCCTTATTGTAAAAACAAGTTAAAAATCTAAGGTTCTATGACCCAATCTGTCCTATTTTTATTTAAATTTTAAATTTTATGATTCATACCTTTCTCAAGGGTATTAGTACGTAAGTGAATGTAATGGATTCGATTAGAATGCGAATAGACATAATACATCTAAATATATTTTATAAAATACGTTATCCTGGAAAATACATTAAATGGGAAAAAATGCATAAATGTTTTAATTAAACATTATTAATTACATTAAATTCCTGAATGTTTTTTACGAAATTTTCTCAACAAAGGCCGATAAATGTAATTAATACTATTTAAAAATGCTGATTTCTATATCAAATCTATATTTATTTTGTATGATTACAAAAGGCCGGAAATTTCAAAAAAATGGTCTATCTTAGTTCTATATAAATATCAGGTCATTGCGTTTTTCTGTCCGAATTTTGAATAAAAAAAACAAGTGACCAAATGTTACATTTAATTACAGATTCAATCAACAATGTATTTTCCCTGATTATCTATGACTTCCTTCCATCTATTAACAAGCTTACTAATTCCATTACTGTAAAATTCGTTTGGCTTTGATTCGAAGAACTCACAAATATCAGTTTTAACCTCTTCCTGTGTTACAAAAGCTGTTTCTTCCAAATGATTCTGTAAGCTACGAAACAAATGGTAGTCTGAAGGAGCAAGATCGGGAGAATAAGGTGGATGAGGAATTTTCTCCCAACCAAGTTCTTCGATCTTTTGTGACGTGATTCTTGCTGTGTGGGGTCGCTCATTGTCCTGATGAAACATCACCTCTTTTCGATTCACTAGAGCAGGTTTTTTTTTCCTCAAAGCTTGGTTCAAACGCTCTAATTGCTGACAGTATATTTGAGCATTAATTGTTGCATTAGGTGGTAAGAATTCAAAGTGGATTATTCCTTGGCGATCCCACCAGATTGAAAGAAGAACCTTTTGCCCATGAAGTTCCCTTCTCGGCTGTGGCTGGGGTCCTTCCCTTTACCAAGCCACTGTCTACGACGCTTAACATTTCGATAAAAGATCCATTTTCGTCGCCAGTCACAAGTCTATCAAAAAAGGTGAAACAAGTTGGCGAGAATGGAGAGAAGAGCAGATGTCAACTCAGGATTTGAGGTTGTTTTCAGACAATTCATGAGGCACCCATTTTCCAAGTTTAGGAACTTTTCCAAGTTGTTGAAGATGACGATAAACAGTTTTATGGTTTGAACTGAGAACCACTGCCAATTCCTCGACTGATAAAGCAGGGTTTTCTTCAAGGTCTGCTTCAAGAAGCTTTTCATCAAACTCAACTGGACGTCCGGTTCGATCTTCATCTACAAGGGTGAAATCTCCACCTCTGAATTTTGCAAACCATCTTCTGCAAGTTCTTTCATTCACACATTCCTCTCCATAAACTGAGTGAATGTTTCTAGCCGCTTCGGCTGCTGAGTTTCCTTTCTTGAACTCATAAAACATTATGTGCCTCAAATGTTTCTTGGGTACTTCCATGTTAGCAGGGTTTTAATCAAACAAAATCTCTGAAATAAAATTTGATCAGTTTAAATGCATCTAAACATAAAAATAATGTTCAGCTCCATTAGACATTATAAAATACTCTTTAAATTTCGTTCATTTTAACAAAAAGTTAAAATTCGGACAGAACTTATGGGATGACCTGATACAATCACGACCCATTCATTCAATGCAATATAATCAATCATCACAAGAACTTGTCCATCACCACTCAATCCTACATGTACCACAATACCACATATTCAGAGGGGACCTACAAAACATCCCATAATATATATGATTTATTAACTGTTCAAAATGTCTCCCTTTTTTTACAAAAAGTATAAAAGCTTTTCATGAAGTATGAAATGATTGGGGGGGGGTGAACCAAGAAAATCCAGAAAACGAAACAAAAATGCAACAAAAGAGGCAAACTAAATCAAAATAGATGTTAGTAAGACCCGTCTACCCCTCAAAATAATAATAGTGGCAACTGTATTCTACCGATGGACATAATCATACGCACACTGGCTAATGGGGTGGGAAGGATGAAATATAAATAACTGAAGGGGAAAATCAATTATTTATTACTGTATAAAATACAATAATTGGGGCACATGGCCGAAGGAGAAGTGGGGAGAGGTTAGTCTTCGCTAACTATCCCAGTTAATCACGATCACGACCCATTCATCCAATACAATTGAACCATTTACAACAAGAACTCATTCATCACCATTCAATCCTACATATACCACAATACCACATATTCACAGGCGGAACCTACAAAAACACCCCATGTTATAAAAATCTCAAAATGTTTAGTTACAAAAATATATCAAAATTTCATGAAACATGAAATGAGGGGGGAATGAACCCCGGAAACTAACAAAAATGATGTCAGGTGTTAGACCCGACCACCCCTCAGTGACCGCTGTATTCTGCCGATAGACAGAATCAAGTAGCACACTCACTAATGGATTGGAGGGGGGGGGAATAAATGACGAAATGGGAAATCAAAGTCTGACACAGCCAGGATAAAAAAGGGGCCAAGAAACAAACTGGGGAGGTTGGGAATCTCAACATGGATCATAACGAATGAGAGTGCCGGGAACAGGCCAGGAACAACACTTATTCACATTAATTGGGTAAAGAAGAAACGTCTAAGTTAACACGGGAAGGGTTCACAGGAAACCGCCCCTTTGCACTTAAGGGGACTTAAAAGAGAAAATCATGCCAGTCCTGTTCACGAAGTTAAAATCTTTTCGATGAAATCTGTCGATATCAAACACTTTCTATCAGATCTGATCTTCATCCTGAGCTGTTACCCAAAAAATCCAACCAGATCATGATGAGAATAATGTTCATATCACACGATTCCCTCCACTCGCGACGTCCATACTACCATTCGTACTATGGCTAGCAAAGTCAGAAGCAGCATGCGTTTCAACCCGGAAAACGTGGGCGAAACATTGTCACATGCGTACGCGAGTTCGATGGACACAAGCTGATCGGGAGCGATACGAGCCGTCAACTCGCCGACAGAGTCCCAGGGACGCACCTGAGGACAATGGTAGAAGTCGTTTCTTCTAAACCAAAGTCACACCGATGACAGTCAAACAAATACGCCTAGCCCCATCTGAAGGTTATGTCATTGAGAGGTAGCAGGTTATAAATCAATCACCAGGTAAACGAAAACTCAGGGTTACTGAGGTAATCCACCGCTGGTGCACAAAACCAGAAAAGCGAAACTCTGATGCCG